GAGAGAGAGAGAGAAGTAGGGAAAGAGAAAGAATAAGGTTGGTCGAAATGGTGTATAGCAGAAATAGAGAGAGAGAAAAAAAAGAAGATGGCAAATGAAAATCGATATAAAATCAATTCAAGTATTGCCAAAGAACAGCAACGGAGTTTCGTGAGTACGAAACACAACAATGGTCCAGAGATCGAGGAACTAATACTAGAGACTAAGACACCTGCTTCTCTCTTCTACGATTCTCGATCGAGTTAGGATCTACTTTTTTATCTCGTTAGCGTATTCGTACTTTTACCCCTTTCTCGTGATAATTACGCTAGCTTTTTTATTACATATCGTATTTTGTATTACAATTTACATATCGTAATCACGATATCGTATCGAATTAGAATCGAGGTTAGGGAGGAGGGGAGGAGGACTGGGAGGGAGAGGGTACCCGACAACCGTGGTTCACAAAGCGTCGGCCTATACATCTCAGTTATCTTCTCTTACAATCGTAAAACCGTCCGCTACTTATAAATAATACTGAATCTACAATATGGTATTTTGGACCGGTAAAACGTCAAGTTTGGACTTTTGTTGGCAGCGAGTGCGTGTTCTCATTCACCTTCGCGCTTCTCTCGTTTGGTGGTCTTCGCTGTTCTCCTATTGGCCGTGATTATCGACGCACGTAATAAACTCCGTCTGTCCAAAGAATATATCTCACGTTTTCCCCGGTTTGTCAAACAGTCTTTTACAAGGGTACAATTTTCTCGTTTCGATGCACCGGCGTGTCGTACACTGGCACGCATTTGTAATATTGAGGAGGGTAGATGGAGTAAGATGTCTCGGAGGGTGAGAGACGGGCCCGGAATCGACTGTGAAGAATGTGGGCGATGAGCACCAGGCAGAACAACGAGAGTATTGTGATCAAGATGATCGGCACCGTGCCCCACCCTTTGCCTTGATGATGACCACCGTTCGCCACACCGTTCCCCTTCGTCGGCTGAAAATAAACGGACGAAGAAAGGAGAAATTACGAAGGATCGACTTATCCTCGAGATGAAACGATACCAGAATACTTACCGCGATCGGACAAATCGGGCAACAAGTTCCAGGTTTCGCGGGCAACGGATCGTTGCAAGCTATCGAGCAAACGGTCTCCTTGCAACTAAGCTTCCCTCCGGTGTCGCAGGTGCACGAGGTGCACGAGTTCGGATGCCAAGTCGATCCTTCCGGATGCGTTCCGTTCACGTGGTCCACGCAGAAAGCACGACATCGGCACATCTATGAATAATGTCAAGAAGATCGTTTAAATACGTAATGTAAATGTCTCTGTTATATTAAAAAATAAGGAGAGATAATACGCTTATTCAATATCAATCTTATGAAATTGATTCTATAATTTTTTAGCTGTCAAATTGTATTTGCATTTTTTAATATGTAAAGAAATGTGCGCTTTGAAAATAATTTACAATATTATACAATAATTAACAATATTGGGTACGTATTTTTGTCAATTTCGTAGCATTGTCATCTTTTTTTAATTCTTAATTATTTCCTTTGAATAGTTAATACATTGTATATATTACGTAAATCTATTCAATGTCAATTTTAAGTTAATTTTTATTTTCACTGTGATAAGAAAGAAAGACGTCTACGATTGTACACATTGTAGTTAATTATAAAAGTTTTCATGCGAAATAAATTTATATTTTTTTTATTAAAACCAACGATAATTATTTTATTATATGGAACATTATAAGCATACGATAAATTATAATGAATTATGTATACATTATAATTTACAATTTTTTTTTTATTAATAGAATATCATATTTTGAAAGAGTGACATCAACTCTTAAAATTCTAATATTATTTTCGTTTTTTAAAATAATTTTGTAACAATATAAGATAAAGCAAGATTTTGAATTATGAAAATAATTAAAATATATAAAATATACTCAGGCAAAGGCGCATTCGAAAAATGATAAAATTTAATTTCGCGCGATTCAAAGAGATTTTAAATGGAAAAAAATTGCTATATGTATAATATATGTATAATACACATTATGTTTTAATAAAAACACACAAATTTTTATTTTAAGTCAGAATTTTTAAATTGTCTTCTTAATATTTATTTTTAAGATAATTTTTTCTTCTAAAACTTTTATTGACTGATTGTAAACGAATAAAAATTTTAAATCAATAGATTATAACATTATTATAAAATACAATAATGTTTCAGCATTTGTGTAACTCAAATCCAACGATGTTTGCAATATGTTTCAACGTCTGTAACTATTTAAATTAAAGAGGAAACTGTATCTGTACTTACAGAACAGCCGCGTTTGTTCGTTTTGTAACCAAACGCGCATCGTTTTCTGCATCCGATTAGAGGTGGACAACTTGTCGATTCTGGCGTTCGACATTTGCAAAATGTGCAGTCGTTTTCATCCATAACCAATCCTCGTTCGCAGTGCAAATCGCACTTTACTTCGGGACAAATCTTTTTTCCAGCATCGTCGATTGCCACAGTGTCAGTGGTAGATTGTTCAAAGGTCTGGCAATCGCAGATCGAGCAGTCATTTTCGTCCTTTACGATCTTGCAACCGAAATCGCAGTGAAAATTTGGGCAAATGTTTTTGGATTCGTTATTAGTAGGAGGATGATCCGTTATTATCACATCGTTTCTCTAAAAAGTAGAAAAATATGGGGTGGATGTTAAAAAATTGTACTTCATCTTGTCATATATTTATACGTATATTAGATACATAAAAAAATTTATGTGATTCTCTTTAAAAATATAGATTTTCTGACAAAAATTAAGAAATAAATTAATCATTTACAAATTTTTTTTGTATTTGTTATTTTCACTCGATCTTTATTTAAATATATCTGGAAAAAATTTATTACTTAATTAATATATGAATTATTATCTTCCTGTGTTATTTTTAATTTCACAATCTATTCGTTTTAGATAATGAAAAATAAATTTGGAAATGATTAGTTTATTTTTATAAGCATTATATTTGTTAATATAGAAGATTTATCAACATAGAAGAAATTGGATATAATTAGTTTTAATAGAAGTATCAAGTTTTACTCGTTATTTCTAAAATAAATTATCAATTCTTTATTTGCATTGAAAGAAAGTTCATTTCATAAAACATTGGAAAATCGTTTTTTTTTTTCATGATAATCAAGCTTTTCACAATTTAGAATATTACAGCTAGCTTATTGTTTATATTGTTAGATTTTCACCTATTTAGTAATATAATTTTTCGAATACTTGCTCTCAAAATAAAACAGAAATTGAAAATTGAAATTATTGATAACTACATCACTCCAAAAATTTTTATTTTTAATAATAATGAAAATAAATTTCGATTTTCAAAAAGAAATTACTTTGATTAATCTTAGAATGTTTAAGATCTCTTAGAAGATTCTTATATTAATATAAAATAAATATTAGAAATTTAATTTTTTTGTTTGTAATATGTTTTTATATGTATTTTATTGTACATATATTATAAGTATATACATATATGTTAAATAGTTGGTCAAAAAATGTAATATCAAAGAACATGAACGTAATGATATAAATCTACGAGTGCTATCAAATATTTTATTTTCTTAATTTCTCTATTATCGATTATTTTATTAATATGATTTAATAAATTAAAATAATGTGAAGTGAAAAGATTGTAGATCTAGAAAGACATCCAAAAAAAAGGTATCACGAATCAATATCAAAATATATATAATTTAATAAACGATTTCATTTATATTTCTGTTATATACAATAACTCTTTGACACAAAATTGTTATAGCCTTTATACACATGATAAATAATACACTTCAAAAAATAATGTGACTATATTTTAACCTCCTTAAAGCTGGAAAATTGATCGCATTATTTCTTCGATGTTAATAAATATATATCTAAAAACGATCACGAGAATATTTATGCACTTACCTCGGATTTATCGCAACTACAAATGGGACAATCGCTTTCGTCTTTCGCGTAACCGTATTCGCATGTTAACTCGCAACCGTCGAGAGAAGTTTGACAAGGTATCTCCGATCGGTGGAACGTCGTGTTCGTAAACGGTGGACAATACGGACAACATTCGCCAGGATCGGGAGGAATCGCGTTCTCGCAGGATTTGCACATTGATTCTTGACAGGATACCATCCCGTCCTCCTGGCAGACGCAACTAACACAATCGGATGGCTGCCATCGTTCGTTCAACTCTCTCGCTTTGCCCTCGTAAATACAATATTTAGGCGGTTTCGTTATCTCGGTTGCCGGTTTTATCCACGAGATCGACTCTGCGAAGCAAACAAAAGTAATTGTTTTTGTATAGAGATTGAGGTAAAATAATAGGTAGATTATGATTTGTAATTTTTTTTTTATCACGCAATTCGATGATACAGTTTATTATGTAGATTTTAGATGATACAATTAATTTAAAAGGAGATTTGATAGTTTAAATGAGTTTTGTATGAACAGTGAATTATAACGTTAAGAATGTTTTAAGAAATTTTAAAATAAAATCGAGATATCGATTTATTATATTATTTATCCAGATAATTTTTAATTCGCTTGGTAATTATATGCAAGAGCAATTTCTCTTCGATTTTAATGACATTGAAATGTGTTATTAAGATCAACATTTTGAATAACTTTTCCTTATGCATGTACTCCTTTCGCTTCAGTTTCTGAGATATACGTGGAAATATATTCCGTATCATATATAAGTAAAGTTTGACACAGGTTTTTATTATAAGACTTAATATAAGTTTAGATTAGCTCGATTTAGTGTAAGTTCGATTAAATAATTACCATACGTTAAAATGAAAAATATTTTTTCTTGATATTTCGAAAATCAGCGCTGGAACAAATTATTCAGAATATTGATCTTAACAACGTATTTCAAGATCATTGAAATCTAAAAAATGGACTTTTTCTATATATTTATCGTGTATTTTATAGTTCTAATCTATTTATAATTTATAAAATTAGATTAAAAAATCTAATAAATAAATTTAATCATAGAATGTTTTATTAATATAATATTGTTATTAATGATTTTTCTTTGGAAAATTGAAGAATAAAAATATTTACTTGTTCATATGTCAAAACTGTATTCATTTTAAATTAATATAATACTTTATCTCATTATTTCATATCGTTGATTCGTAATTTATTATCTCCATACCAAAGATAACTGTAAAATTGCTTTTTTTTATAGATATTCATATTATTATTAAAACATTAAAACAAAAGTTGTTAAAATATTATTATATTATCTATTAAAATATTTTTTTTGTCCAAGAGATAAACAAGTCACGTTTATTTTTGCTTAGAATTGCCACCTTAACTTATTTTCCCGTACATTTAAATGGGACATTATGGGAAGAAAAAAGAGAGAAACGATTGCAATCTAAATTGAAAGTTGGCGGTGATAAATTCCCTAAGTTGCGAACAGACTGAGATACAATCACTAGAAATAATGTATCCTGACAGTTAGTTAACTATCATCAATCTATATCTTAGCGACTTAATAATAGTGACAAATGTTAGTATTTATATATTTTAATTTTAGTTTATCAATTCAAATGGGTTGATCTTTATAAAAGTTAAACAACTATATCTGTAGGGAAGATGTTTGAAGAGTTAACTAATTGTTAATGATATTGCATCTATTGTGTGTTATACATAAAAACATATGCAATAAAAAAAATTGAACATTTTATATTTTTACATTGTACTACATACAATGATAAATAATAAATGAATCTTTTAAAGTTTATTATTTTAATTACAACAATATTGTTGTATATATAAGTAATTTAAGATTAAGAAGGATATTCAAGTCAAAATAAGCATTTCAGACTTTTTGTTGTTTCTATATATTAAAATTTAAATAGTTATCACGAAAGCAATTTTCATGTTTTATTTAACTTGTATACTTATTTATAAATACAATTTGTAAATATTTATAAATATAATTTATGTTTAATTAATTAAAAAAAATCTTTTTTTAGTTTATTATTGAACTGATAAAAGAAATAAAAATTAAATATTTTGCGATATTAAAACTTTTTTAAAATTATTTTATTAGAAAATAATAATTATTAAAAAAAAAGCATTAAAATAAAAATTGTTATCATAATAAATAATCTTTATTTATTATATATCAGATGTATTTAATTGATATATTTTAGTAGATATAGCAATTCATACAATTATTTCTCGCATAATTTATTGAAAATCAAAAACTGAAAAATTGAACTGTACATTTTATACAATCTCTCTTATCACAATCATTCAATTATTTCTAGTGATTGCAGCTTCACGATCATCGGTCAAATTTTTTTCGAATATTTTTTAGAACAAGTGATAATTGAACGTATTTATAAATCCGTTACCTGCGGGTTTGCACTCGTAAAGAGGGCAACATCTACCGGGTGTCTCGCGATCCAGGGCAGCTCTCAGTTGAACGGGACGATGTCCCGGTTGGCAGGTAGGCCTTGGGCAGGGCGCGCACTCGCACTTTCCATCCTCGGTTAACACGCTATTTTCGGGGCACGGCTCCGATTCTCGAGAGTCTTCGATGGAAATAAAGCGACACTTTGAGCGAGTTTGTCCCGGAATGAACGGACGGATCGTGACACGGCGCGACATTTAATTCGATCTCTTACCTGGGGGCAGGCAATCGTAACGTGCGCAGCAGCTACCCGGGGTCTCTGGATCCGCTGGCTTCACCTGGATCAGACGTTGACCCGGTTCGCACTCGACCGAGGGACAGTCGATGCATTTGCACTCACCGCCCTCCCCTTGAACACTATCCTCCGGACACTCGTTGCCACGCGTATCTCCTATAAACGAATACAAATGTTGAATATGCTTTCCTCGATCGCGTGTTATCGAATTCGTTTCGATTCGTTCGAGTCGGGCAAGAATAAAAACGAGAGGAGATCGAGCTGTGCTTATTCGTTGGCTATGATGGAAAAAACGTTACGGTTTCTCGCCGAATGCTCGATCGGTTTTTTCATCCACCGATTCATTTACCGTAATCTCATTCGGGAAAACGTTGCTACAGAAATATTACTCCTCGAGGATAAAGCGAAATATGGCTTCAGAAAAAAAAAACATTTGCATTTGCAAATGTTAGCACCGAGTTAGAATGAAAAAATATCGTGACTGCGCTCATTCAAATCGAGATTAGTTGAAAGAACGGTACGCTGTTCATTGCGATCCAATTGATCGTTATCGTTAATTCCCTGTGGGGAATCACGATGTCGATACTTGGAAATACGACCATCACCGACTCGAATTACGCGGGAAAAGGAAAAGTTGGATCGCAATTGGTAACTAAAATTTATAACTACGATGATATTTCTTCGGGAATGGATAAGATTCTGCAACATATCTGTATACCTCCCAGGTTTGAGAAGCGGAAGCAACGGAGGAAAAATAGTACCCGTGAGATTCACCGATGCAGTGTGCGTTCGGGAAGGATACCGCATCGGTATCTAGGAGTATTCTATCTCCACATGGACCGAATAATACCAACGTTTCGAACACCACATCTCAAATTGATGTGAGTCGTTTCAGCTTTTGAACCTATAGAAATTTTTTGTTCAAAACAAAAGATGAACAATCCGTGAGTCGATTGAACAGTAATATCGTAATATAATTCGAAAAAGAAAAAAAAAATGTATAGTGCAACGTGAGTCATCAGATTGTAAATACATTCATACTATAAATTATGCAGAGATTTCTTTTTGTTTACTTTATCCCCCTTTTGTCGATCATGTCATCGCCCACGCAACTTTCGAACTTGCAATCACGAAATGGTTTCTTATATTCGTCACGCTCGCCTAATTTGGTATCCCGTAATTTTTAGTTTCTTTCATAACTCAGGAGGAGCTTTAAGATCCTTCATTTCGTCATGAATAACGAAATGGTAATAAAATTTTGGAAATCAAGAATCGACTTTCGAAATACTTCAATAACGAAAAACATTGAGATATATCTGAATACATATAAAACTAAATAATATAAAGAAATATAGAGAAATTAAATAACGTATTATTTTTTAATCAACGAATTGTATTTCCATTTCTATTTTGAGTTTCTTTTAATATCTTTTTCCATCTTATGAATTACTGATACAGATTTTTTGAGATTTCATCATATACACGACATTATTGCCATACGGTAAGAAGAAGAAAAACTTTGAAAAGAAAGATTAATTCTTGATTCATATTTATTATCGTGAAATCCTCCACTATATCGAGATTTAAAGAAGCAATAGATTATAAGTTTAAGTATAATAAATTCAAGATACTAAAGACACATATATGTAATATTAACAATTCTCGAATTATTGAACGTAATATCATGGTAAATCCTCGTGTATGAGAAGCAAAAACCTAAAATATAAGCAAATATTTGCGGCTACTTTTTATTACCCTTTGCGGATAATTTCACGTTCGATAAAGTAATTAAACGAAAAAGTTCTGAGCCTTACTACGTCATGTGATCGCTTATCGGCTATGTGTCAACCGGACGTAATCGCAGAAAATTCCCGGTTCAACGCTTTTTTTTTTCTTTTCAAGTGCTCTGTGATTCTCGTTCGATCTTTAAAACGGCGTATTTTCAGTCTCTAGCCTTGTATTACGCGTTCACCAGGATTATCGATCGAGCTGCTCCGTGCCGAGACAAGTAATTGAGCTTATACCACGTAATTGGCTTTTAACTTTTCGACATTGCTTCTACGGACGTCGGATGATACGAAATAAGATTGTCGATGCGCTTCTGTCGCTGTGGAAACCTCTCGCAAGGACAAAAGTAATGTCGTTACCATTTATCGATAATGAAGTTTGGTAAATCTTGCGAATTTTTCTTTCCTTTTCCCATTATAAAATGTGCATACTACGATTATAGTTATTTATGTATATTTGATATAATACACGTTTTTTCGAAAAAAAAAAAAAGAGAAATGGTATCTGATTTATACTTTATTTATTAAAACTATAAATGGCATTAATAATACATGGAATTTAATACTTGAGCGTCATTTTAGAATTCTACATTTATTTAGACTATTGCTATAAAATTAGGTTAGAATTTCTCATTAGGCAATTAAATTAATTTTTATAAGTAGCATGTATTCTCAATATCAGCAATATGTATGATTTAAAATTGATTTAAAATTAATAATGTAATTATAAAATAATTCCAAATGAAATGACTTTTTTAAAATAATTAGAACACCGTAAAATTTATCTAATATCTAAACAAAAAATATATATATTTGTAAACTTAAATATTTTTTAAAATAATCAATATATCATAAATTTATCTAATATTTAAATAAAAAATATATATTTGCAATGCAAATAGATTTATACTATTATATATAGAGATGATAAATGTAGATTTTATATTAAGAACAAAACAAAAAATAATTATAAATTTTGAGAAAAAAATAATTATATTCTTATTTATAAAGTTATTTTTCTCATTAAAAACTTTAACAACTGTGACATTAAAAACTGTGTATATCATATCAATATTCATTCTGTCATTTTGAATTGTTTTTACTATCTTCAATAATGTCTTTCTCGCCCATAATCTACATTTTTTTTCTTTTATATTCAGTAGCCAATTCTAGAAAAATGTTTACTAGTTATTACTAATTATTAAATGTATTTTTAATATCTTATAAAAAAACTAAACCGTCTAATCGAAAATCAGAAAGTGATGGCTAACTTATTTTTTCAATAATTATATGATAATATCTCATCACACAAATGTAATAAGTTATAATTTGAAAAATACGTAAAAAGTTTTTGATATTTTATATTTTCGCTACAATTTTTATATTACATATAACTTATTTAATTTTTTAATTGAAAATAAACAACGAGTACTTGTATTCAATTTACAATATATTATCACACTTATTACAAATAATTGGTAATATATCGTATAATCAGAACGTTTTATAATGTCTGTGAAATCTTTTAGTCTTTTGCTCGCAAGGTTATCTTATCTGAAATTATTCTATTTTTACTTTTTATTGCATTTATGCATTTATGATATGATTTATGTATTTATGATATGATAACATGATGCTACTATGATATACAACATATATATAATGTTTTATAATTTATGTGTCAATATAATCGTATAATTATATCGATTGTATAATTTTTCTAGTCGATATTGGTTTTATTATTTGTTTTATTGTTATTGTATCTATTATCAATAATCTGTTAATATACTTTTGCATGTATACAAACGGTTGTTATTATTATTAAAGATTTTATAATACAGAAGTATTTGCTTCAAACTTTAAGGATCTCAAAATTAATATTAATATAACATCGATATTTAAAATGCGAGATATGAGAAAATTTTTATCATTTTGCAATATAAAATATATTTATGCTATGAAAATATTTATTTTCATGTAAATGACGAATGCAATTGAGAAAATTATTATTTTTAAAATTAAAATTTATAAAAGATAAATTGAGAAATAGAATGATTGATAAACACTTAAATTATATCTTATCGATTCGATGAGTTGAATATATTTTGATAGAAATTAGTTTTAGAAATAATTTTCAACTTTGTAACCTTTAAAAATTTTTCTATAGAAAATTAAAAATTAATTCAATTAAGAATATTAGTTTGAGTGCATACGAAGAAAACCAATTTTTATTATTTAATCGTGAACATTTTTATTATTATCATTATTATCATTGTAATAAAATATTATTGTTATAAATTCATTCATAGAGTCGAGGATCTACTCAATTCTTAATTTCTGATTATCATCATAGTCATATTATATAAGATGCTAATCAAAAAAAAAAAAAAATGGCATGTAAAAATATTCATTGAGACTTATTTATTAAGTTAGAAATAATTTAATTTTACATTGGAATGAAGTGAGACAGAGAATGAGTGTGACGAATTTATTTTTTCACTTTGCTGTTATTTTTTTCATTGATCGCAGTCATTAATACAAAATTAAATTCCTTTTAAAAAATAAATTTCAACATTTTCGTATATCAACTTTTGTTGTATCGTATTTGTTTTACTCTCCAGAATTATTCCTTACGTTTTCTTTTACCTCGTGCATATATATATATGTAATTAACTAACATTACTTTTTAATGTATAATAAAAAATTTTTATCTATACAAAAACACTTTTACTTTTGAATTAAAAAATTAAATTATCCAGCTTCCAATTTTTTTCTCTTTTTCGACGATTCGTTCATTTACTCTTTCGTCAGATTTCGTTCCTTCCTCTTTCTCGTTCATTTTCACGAAGCAAGTTGTGAGTGAATGAAAATCAAGCAGATCGAGGACAAGGAATATCACGACAGTATCGATGACGACTCATCGGTCATCGCGAGTTCGCCGAGGACCAAACTTTGCCAAGCTTCTCCTCCGATCCGGTTGATCGAGTGTTGTGAAACTCGTTAGATGTATCGCGTGTCACGTTCGTGAAGACAGATAACGGGAGAAAGAAGAAGAGGGAAAATAATGAAGATCATTATAAAAATACGCGAACGTTATCTCGCGCATATAATTGACATTGACGTAACGCGATCGTGCGCTTCTCTTTGCTTTTCTCCTGCTCGAGATTCCATTTTCTAATCTTACCTCGTTAACTTCAATTTAATTTTGACCGATTTTTCCTTTCTCAATAAATCGTAAATGGGACTTATTTGATATCAAACGATTTAATGATGATGATTTTTTAATATTGTTATTGCCGAGTGCATGATTCTGAATAAACTTTATTCTTACACGGAAACGGTGTTGATTAGAATTATTCGCAAAAAAAC